CAATGGGGGGCTCCAAGGGGCCCTGTACAGCAACTGTACAAGCCAATGCTCCTTAGCTAACTAGACTTGAATGATTAGGCGACTAGGAATTGGTTTAAAATCAAATCGAATTTTGCATCCAGATTCAAAGTTTTACTATCTGTGATCTTGACTTTTCTCAACCTCTGCTCATTTCATTTCCTTCAATTGTAAACTAAAGTAAGAAATACCTCCAATGGTGGTTTTAACAGTAAAGTGAGATAATGCCCCCAGGATATTTGAGCTCAGCTCCTGGTAAGTATGGAAAGTCCATTTGCTATACTGCAGTTTTTATTTCACCAACTAACTAAACAGAGGAAAACAGTAAAGTTTAAATACTAATGAAACAGAGTAATTTACACTCACCAAAAGACACCTGAGCAGAAATTCTGTACAAGGTAGGCAGTTCCTTGTACAGGGACCATATGCAGCAAGACTTCAGAAATGCTGATCTCAAAGCATTTTGAATTGAACTCTCACTGCAAGAGGCACTCGCTTTACACAGCCTTTTTTGGACTTGTCTTCAAAATTCACCAAAGGGAGTCCTGGAAACATTATTTTCACAGGAATGAACTTAATCTTCCCCTACACTCTCAAAATATCCTTCACATTGCCCTGTCACTATTCATATCATTTGGTCTCATAATTGTCTACCTTATCCCCACCCACAAAGTACTATCGCTTACTTGACAACAATGATAATACTTTGTGTCTGCTGCATATAAAGGGTAGACAAAAGGTCAATAAGAAGAAAGGACTGACAACGTTGAGTGGAACCTGCCCTAGATGTTGAGGCCATTCTCTGGGCACTGGGTTAAGGGATTCAGAGAAAATCACCAACTTCCCCACCTCCACATTGCTGAAAGCAGAGGTCTATTTAATCACAATCCTCAACTGAAGGACACTGCCTCACAGCCAGTGAAATGCCTAATTCTACTTTATAAGAAAAAAAGATGTATTAAAGTAAAATCAGGAGATGGAGGCCACTTTGGATGTAGTTATCAAGGAGGTACTCTCTGTGGAGGTGATTGTTGACGTGAGATTATGAATCTTGTCAAGTGAAACATTTGAACATATAAGATAAACTGTACTAGCCAGATGTAAGTACAGAGGCCTAAGTCAAGAACAAGCAGAAGTCCAAGAAGTAGTGGGCATCCTTGCAGGTGGGTGGGATACAGCCATGCAGAAGCTAAGGCAGAAGACCAGGGTGTGGCCACTGGGGAGATATGCAAGTGGCAGGTCCTCTGGTTCAAAACAGACAAATAAGAACCAGCTTATTAGAAGGTGATTATCAGTCAAGACCTGGCAGAAGACTGGAGGTCAATGCAGAATGATAAATGGGAATTCTCATCAGAACCAAAGCAAGGACCCAGCCCTACAAACCAGAGACATACAAGGGAAGACGCTGGAGTTTAAAGGCTAGACCCTATTATCATAATGGTACTGGAGATGGAATGCTAAAGCACAGAGACCTTATATCTTGGTCAAGTTTACTTGGAAAGGTGTTGGGCACTATATCCTGCTTCAAATACTGCGTAACTTCATCCATATTACTCCTAGACTGGATGCTACTGGAGGCAGATCTGAACCAAATGGTAGATTATTGCATCTGGCTGGAGTAGCTGTAAATAAAAGAGACCTAAAGCAATCACCTTTCCCCAAACACTTTACCAGAGATTCCAGGATCTGGGTTGGGATGTCGGGGTACACATTCAGCCTGGTCAATGACAGTTTTTAAGTTTTCTTTTTATTGAATAAGTATTTAATAACATCTTGTTATTTGAATATCTTTATTTTATATATTTTTATTGAGGCATAATTGTCATGTAAACTTATATGAGATCCAGGTGCCCAACATAATGATTTGGTATTTCTATATATTGTCAGATGATCACCACAATAAGTCTAGTTAACATCTGTCACCACACAGTTACAAAATTTTGTTTCTTGTAACAAGAACTTTTAAGATCTACTCTCCTAGTAACTTTCAAATATGTAATACAGTATTAGTAACTGTAGTCATCATGGTACACATCACACACCTGTGAATTTTTCTTTTTAGTGAAGTATAATTGACATGCAATCTTATATTGGTTTCAAGTATACAACATAGTGATTCATCAGTTACACCCATTATTAAATCCTCACCCCAACTAAAGTAGTTGCTATCTGAAAAACATAGAAAGATGTTACAGAACCACTGACTATATTCTCCATGCTGCACCTCCATTGCCATGACCAACTTATGATTGAAACTTTATGCCTCTTTATCCCCCTCATTCATCCCACCCACCCACTCCAATCCCTCCCTCATGGTCACCAGTCACTCACTGTTCAGTGTCTATCAGTCTACTCCTATTTTGTTCATTTCGTTTTGTTTTTAGATTCCACAAATAAATGAAATCATATGGTATTCGTCTTTCTCTGCCTCTCACTTAGCATAATACCCTCTAGGTCCACCTATGTTGTCACAAATGGCAGGGTTTATTTCTTTTTGATAGCTGAATAATATTCTGTTTTGTGTAGGTACCACATCTTCTTTACCCATTCACCTACTTATGGGCACTTTGGTTGCTACTATATCTTGGCTATTGTAAATAATGTGGCAATAAACATAGGGGTCCATATATCTTTTTGAATCAGGGATTTTGTTTTCTTTGGATAAATTCCTAAAGTGGAGTCACTGGGTTGTATGGTATTTCTATTTTTAGCTTTTTGAGGAACCTCCACACTGCTTTCCACAATGGTTGTACCAATTTACATTCCCACCGACAGTGTAGGAAGGTTCCATTTTCTCCACATCCTCGCCAACACTTGTTATTTCCTGTCTTTTGGATAGTGGTCATTCTAACTGGTGTAAGGTGATATCTCATTGTGGTTTTGATTTGCATTTTCCTGATGATTAGCAATATGGAGCATCTCTTCCTGTGTCTGTTAGCCATCTGTATTTCTTCTTTGGAAAAATACCTGTTCAGGTCCTCCACCATGTTTTAATCGGGTTATTTGTTTTTTGGTATTGAGTCACACGAGTTCTTTACATACTTTGAATGTTAACCCCTTATAAGATAAATTATTTTTTAATATATTCCCCCATGCTGTAGGCTGCCTCTTTGTTCTGTTGATGGTGTCCTTTGAAGTACAGAAGCTTTTTACTTGATGTAGTCTCAATTCTTCATTTTTGCTTTTGTTTCCCTTTCCTAGAGAGATGTCCAGAAAAAAACTGCTCATGCTTATGTTCAAGAGACCTTTGTCTATGTTTTCTTCTCAGAGTTTTATGGTCACATCTTATATTTAGGTCTTTAATCCATTTCAAGTTTACTTTTGTGTATGGAGTTAGTCAGTAATCCAGTTTCCTTCTCTTGCATGTAGCTGTCCAGTTTTCCTGACACCATTTATTCAGGAGGTGTCTTTTCCCATTGTATATTCATGGCTCCTTTATCATATATTAATTGACCATAAATGCATGGGTTTATTTCTGGGCTCTCTATTCTGTTCCACTGATTTATTTTATAACTAGAAGTTTGTATTTTCTGCTTACTTCATCCATTTTTCCAACTCACCAACCCTCACCTCTGGCAACTATCAATTTTTTCTCTGTATCTATGAGTTTGGGGTTTGTTTGTTTGCCTTGTTTTGTTTTGTTTAAAATCCACATGTAAGTGAAATCATATAATATTTGTCTTTTTCTGCCTTATTTCACTACGCATAATGCCCTAAAGGTCCTCCCATGTTCTCACAAATGTCAAGATTTCTTTTTTGGTTAAATAATATTCTATCATTCATACACAAACACACACACACACACATATATTTTCATTATCCTTTCATCCATCAATGAACAGATTGTTCTCATACCTTGGGTATTATCAATGATGCTGCAATGAACATGAGGGTACATACAGCTTTTTGAGTTTGTGTTTTCTTGTTCTTTGGATAAATACCCAGAAGTAGAATTAATGGATCATATGGTAATTCTGTGTTATATTTGTTTTGTTTTTGAGGAATCTCCAAAGTGTTTTCCATTGTGTCTGTACCAATTTACATTCCCTCCAACAGTGCACAAGCACTCCCTTTTCTTCATAACCTTGCCAACACTTGTTATTTCTTGTCTTTTTGATACAAGTTATTCTGACTGATGTGAGGTGATATCTCACTTTTGATTTACAGTTCTCCAATGTTTAGTAATGTTGAACATGTTTTCATGTGCCTATTGGCCACCTGTATGTCTTCTTTGGAAAAATTTCTATTAGATACCCTGCCCATTCTTTAATCAGATTTTTTTTTTGCTTTTCATTTGTACTAGTTCTTCCTAAATTTAGGAAATTAACTCCTTATCAAATGTAAGATCTGCAAATATTTTCTCCCATTCAATAGGTTGACTTTTCATTTTGTTGACAGTTTCCTTTGCCGTGCAAAAGCTTTTTAATTTAATGAAGTCCCACTTGTTTATTTTTTATTTTATTGCCTTTCTTTTGGGGTCAGATTCAAAAAGTCATTGCCAAGGTCAAGGTCAAGGAGCTTACTACTAACTACATTTTTACATCTTTTTAAATATTAACATTGTATCCTCTAATTTGAATATAAGAAGTTTATAACTCAGCTAAATTATGTTAGTGAATGCTTTTATTCTTATAAAAATGGCATAACTTTTAATATTTGCTAAAACCAGCATATGAAATTTCATCAACAAACAGTATTTTTGGGTCAGGACTCCATAATCCAGATGCCATGTAGCAGAAAAGTTTTGAGAGTCAGAATTATTTATTAATTAATTGAAAAAGCATCTATGTGCCAGACGTAATGTTAGATGTTGCAGATAACAAAGGCAAGTTAAACAGTTTCTGACCTTAATGAGACCACAGTCTAGTAAGAATGGCAAACAATTATGGATTTGGCATACCCAACATCTGAGTGAGTTTCTTGAAGAAAGAGATTGAAATTCAGTCCAGGCTTCCCTCATCCCTGATCTTTACTCACATCTCTCAGCATTGGTACTTGAGTAGCTTAATAATCCCAAGCTTTATTTCCTGGGTTCGTACTCCATAGACAATGGGGTTCAGGGCTGGCGGGATGAGGTGGTGGAGGACATTGAGAAGAATGGGTACCTCTGAGGGCACTTTCTTTCCTGCCTTGTTTGTGAAGATGAAGACCAACAGCAATGTATAGAAGAAAAGGATAAGAATGAGATGGGAACCGCAAGTACTCAAGGCCTTGCTGGCTGCACCCCCTGACTGCAGGTGCATAACAGCTCGCAGGATGAAACAATAGGAAAGCAAGATTAGCACCAGGTCAGAACCCAGCAGGCACCAAACACTCACAAACTGGTAGAGCTTATTTAGGTAAATATTCCCACAGGAGAGCTTTGCTACAGAAATGTTGGCACAGATACAGTTCTCCACCACATTGCTGGCACAGTAGGGGAGCCTGGCAGCAAGAACTGGTGTGGGTAGTGTGGCCAACAAATTGCGGAAGACAATGAAAATGGCTGCATTAATGACAAACTGTTCAGTGACGATAGATGGGTAGCGCAGAGGATGACAGATGGCCACATAGCGATCATAGGCCATGACCAGAAAGGTGGAGGACTCCATGGGAAGGAATGTATTCATGATGAACATCTGTAGGAAGCAGCCCTCAAAGCTGATGGACTTCATGTTGAACCAAAAGATGAGCAGGACCTGCCAGAATTATTATTCTCAAAAACTGTGCATCCATTCCCAGCCTAGGATACCTAAACTTGGGGAAACCCTCAGATGGCTTCAACCATCCATATCCCCAAATTATATAATACCAGCTGGGACAGTATCCTAATTTCAGATGCCTTCTACATGCATCCCAGTTAGAGCCTGATTTATACCCTTTTCTCTCCATTTACAGATCACGCCTTTTGGATAAAAATGTTTCTTTTTAGCCTGTTTTCTGTAGACTCCAGAGTTCTTACCCAAATTCCAGATGAATACATCTACCTTTCTAAACTTATCACGAGAACATCAAACTCAGTAAATCCAGTACTTATATTTGGACACCCCCAACCTCTCCATACACATATGAAATCTCTTCCAATTATGCTTCCTATCTCAATCTATAACATGAACATACAACCAACTACATTTTAGAAAGTATATTCTAGAGCTCTTGGGTTTAAGGTTGGGGTCATTCAGAGTCAGAGAGAATCTTCCTAGAAGTAAAAAAGGTCAAAACTTGGAATATCCCTGACTCAGACACTGAGAGAGGGTATGCCAGGTGGGACAGAATGAAACCTTAAATAAGCACAGGCAGAATGAGAGGGGAGGAGTCTGGCAGCTCTGATAGACTGAGAATGACGGTGTGGGCAACTCACAGAGGATATTTGTTCAAGGGAAGGAGGATTTATAGCAGCAAAATAAAGTAGTGTATAAAGAAGGATGACAGAGCCCCTGAGAATAAATCCAGGGAGGATCTGACCTTGGGGATGACTGTGAGGCAGAGGATGACATCCAGCATGGAGAGGATGGCAAGCAGGTAGTACATGGGCTCATGCAGAGACGCCTCCTGCCAGATGGCAAGTAATAACACAAAGTTGGCCCCCAGAGCCAAAACCAGGAGAGGAGCCAGGACTATAGACAGCCAGTGTTGTGTGTCCTGCATTCCTGGGAAGCAGAGCATCAGGAATTCAGTCACCTGGATCCCTGTGTTGTTGAGAGATAATACCATGATTGACAGGTCGGCCTGGAACTGGCTGGAAAAAGGGGACATGAATTCAGTTTGGCTGTTGCATTAATAGCCTCCTAACTGATCTCTTTGCCTCCATTCTAGGCTGCCAAGTTTCTCCACAATCTACTGACACAAAATCTGTCTAAAATTTAAGTTGGAATCCATGTTAAAATGATTTCCTTAACATTCTTAACTTTACGAATAAAGAATAATTCCTTCACCTGAGGATGTTCCAACTGCACATGCATAGATCCAGCCAACCCACAGAACGTGCTGGGCTTTGTCTGACCTGTTTTCATGTGTCACATTCTTCCTCTGAGGTCAGCTCTCTTGTGCTCAAACAGCTATCTTCTGCTTGCCCCTTTCTATCTGTACCAAGTCATACCTCTCAGAAATGCTTTCTCTTGTTACTCCTTTTACATACATAAATGCCTTCCCTTTCCATTCTTTATGATCCTGAAATTCCTTGAGCACATTGCTGCTTAAAGGACTAATAAAACTTTCCTGTAGTCATGCGTGTTTCCTCTTGGTCTTCCAAAAAGTCTGTGCTCCATCTGTGGGCAATGGGATCTTACCTTTATGTTGTAGAACAGAGAAAAACACCATGCCTCTGGTGCCTAACAGGTACTCAATAAGTACACTTCAGATGTATGAGATTGAGGGATTGTTGAAAGCATCATAATGCTCTTGACTTTTTAATTTGACATCTCCATACCTTGCTGTACTATAAACCACTGACCCTCTTGCTTAACATTCAGTAAAAAAGCTACACAAAGTAGAATGGGGGAAAAAATTCAGTGGTGAAGAAAAAAAAAAAGACATCAACCTAGTGGCAAGAGCAGTAAATATAAAGGATACCTGTGCAGTGTCTTATTTGCTTGTTTATTTGGTAAGTAATTGCTTTAAAAATTTAGTTAAATAAAAAGCACTCAACATTTCCTGGGCAAAGGGGAAAAATAAGGAAATGAGGCTTCTCAGACAAGGGAGAAACTGAAAGAATCTTAGACATGACCCAGGATTTGATGTTACGCAGTCTGGAGCTTCAGTTCTCTTTGAGTATCTTCTTAACCATCCTGGACCCGGTGGTGGAGAAGTGGCTGGGTTCAACTGTCCTCCTCTGAGGCACAGGCATCTTACAGATAGATTTTTGGGTATAACTGAGCATTAAAAAAAAATCTCCCAATCAAGGTTTAGCACTGTTTGATTTTTTTCTTAAATATATAGTGTGAGCTCTTCCTGGAGATTTTCTTTTATCTAGACCAGTGCTTCTCAAATGTGGGAATGCATCAGAATTACCTGGAGAGCTTGCTGAAATGCACATTGCGGAGCCCAAACCCCCGAGTTACCAGTTCTGTAGGTCTGGGGGAAGCCCAAGAATTTCCCTTTCTAATGGATTCCCAGGTAATGCTAAGACCACTTTTGCAGGGACTATACTTTGAGAATGGCAGAGTTACACCCAGTCATGGTAACGGACCAAGCCCCTGACTTAGTCTAACCCTAATCTGAGATCACAGCCTCTGTTCGATCAGCTCTAGCTCTGTTCAGCTTCAAACATCAAATTGGCTGCTTCTCCCAGTATCTTTAGTTATTTAAGCACAATTCTGGCCAATCTCTTGTCTCCTAATTTGAAAGTTATCTTCTGGGAATTGTATAGGTTCCTTTTGCATGGTTTTATCTCTCTGCCTGGATATATAGTTCTTAGCCAACTCTCCCAGGAGGACCAAACCTCATTAAGGTCAAGAACAAGGGATCCTTCATTTTTCTCTATGGCAATTGGCACAAATCCAGACCTTTAAAATATGCCTCCCAGGTTCAAAGAAGGAATCCTCCTTTCCAGTCAGAGACAGATCTGAGCTGATCTTCTGTGAGCTCAGCTGACCTACAGTCTACTGTGTCGTGCTGTCCTGACATCAGTGACCTTCAGGGTCTTGACATACTAACATCTGAGGGTGCAATAACATCCTCTGAAATAAACAATAAATTAAGCCCAACACCAAACTCAGTGTCACCTGAGCTCCACTTTCCAATATACTGTTCACAAAACTACTTACTGAGAAAGTCTGCTCCAAACGATATCTTAGACCATCCAGCTGCTTTCAGCCAATGTGTGATGCCTCAGCTCCTCACTGGCCCTGTGCTTGTGGCACTGGCCCCTGGATGACTTTATGCAGATGCTGCTTCTATAACAATCACTCTCCTGTGGCTGGAAACATGAAGCACTGGTGTGGGAATCCTGCTCCCACGGCTCCTGTCTCCCTACAGATACACATACATTCCCACTGTAAAAAGAGAGATACCTGCATTTCAACTCAGAAAATACAAAAGAGCAGTGATTAGCATATAGTTTCTCTTGAGGTGTCTGAGAGTTGCATAAGCTGAGATGTCATCTTTGTGATGGAAAGGATTATCATTCAGGGACTGGGAAGATGTGTCTAAGAGATCCTTTAACAGGACAAATGTCTGAAATGACTTCATCTCTCATATTAACTGCCTTCTAGGAAAATTGTTTTTAAAATGGGTTCTTTATGATGATTTGTTTTATCATTAATTTTCATTACATTTTAGAAATATCTTCACACAGTGAAAATAGGTCACTTAAAGAAAAACAATTATGGAATCCTGAAAGCCAATGATGCAAATTTTTATGCTAGGATTATTACCAAAATAATAGCAAAAAAAAAAGACTGCATAAAATTTTTATTTATTCCAAGTATGACAAGAAAGCAGACAAAGGAACGTAAAATATGTGAGGTCAATATACAAATAATAAGATGGTAGCCATTAAGTGATCAGTAGTTAAGTAAATAGACCAAAAGTCCAGTAAACAATCCAGTAAAACACTAAAACTACCAGACTGAACATATTCATGCTGCTTGCAAAAGACACACTTTAAATATAGGGACCCAGAATGATTGGAAAGAAAAGAATGGAGAAAAATGTATCATGAAAACACTTCCCAGGAGAATATCAGATGGTGATCCTAATCTGATCAATGCAAACATTAAGGCAAGAAGCATTACCAGAGATAAAGAGGGATATTTTATAATGATAAAGTAGTCATAATTATGAATTGGAAATGTAGCAACATCACAGACTCCAGTAAAATAATGTACAATTGATGCAACAGATGGAGAAATAAATCCACAATCATAGTAAGAGATTTTAGCATGCTTCTAAGAGATGATAAAACAGCTGATAAAAAGAAAACCCATATAGATATAAAAGCCCAGAACAAGTATAATTAACAAAATTAACATAAACAACAAGTGCAGAACATCATACCCAACAATAGAATTAGTATTATTTTCAAGTTGATAGAAAACATTTACCAAAACCAATTAAATACCAACATATAAAAAAAATCAACAAATTTCAAACTGGGGAAATAATTTAAAATACATGATCTGATTTCAGTGAAATTAAGCTATGAAGCAATAATAATAATAATGTATCTAGAAAACCCACAATTGATAAAAATTAAGTAGTATACATATAAATAACTTGCGGGTCAAAGAAAAAATTCAAAACGGAAACTGAAAAATATTTTGAACTGGTAATAGTGAATATAAAACATAAGCAACCTCATACAGGAAACTAAATACTTCTCCCTTTTCAAGAATGTCTACCATTTCTCCAAAGAAGAAATTCAGATGGCCAACAGGCACATGAAAAGATGCTCCACATCACTAATCATCAGAGAAATGCAAATTAAAACCACAATGAGATATCACCTCACACCAGTTAGGATGGCCAACATCCAAAAGACAAACAACAACAAATATTGGTGAGGATGTGGAGAAATGGGAACCCTCCTACACTGCTGGTGGGAAAGTAAACTAGTTCAACCAGTATGGAGGTTCCTCAAAAAACACAAAATAGAAATACCATTTGACCCAGGAATTCCACTCCTAGGAATTTACCCTAAGAATGCAGCAGCCCAGTTTGCAAAAGACATATGCACTCCTATATTTATCGCAGCACTATTTACAATAGCCAATAAATGGAAGCAACCTAAGTGTCCATCAGTAGATGAATGGATGAAGAAGAGGTGGTATATATACACAATGGAATATTATTCAGCCATAAGAAGAAAACAAATCCTACCATTTGCAACATGGATGGAGCTGGAGAGTATTATGCTCAGTGAAATAAGCCAGGCAGAGAAAGACAAGTACCAAATGATTTCACTTATCTGTGGAGTATAAGAACAAAGAAGAAACTGAAAGAACAAAACAGCAGCAGACTCACAGAACCCAAGAATGGACTAACAGTTACTGAGGTGAAAGGGACTGGGGAGGGTGGGTGGGAAGGAAGGGACAAGGGGGAAAAAGGGACATTACGATTAACACACATAATGTAGGGGGAGGACATGGGAAAGGCAGTATATACAGAGAAGACAAGTAATGATTCTATTGCTTCTTACTATGCTGATGGACAGTGACTGTAATGGGGTATGTGGGGGAGACTTGATAATGGGGAGAGTCTAGTAACCATTATGTTGTTCAAGTAATTGTACATTAATGATATAAAAAAAAAAAACAGGAGGGATTCCTTGATGGAAATGTTTTATGTCCTGACTGTCGTTGCAGATACACAAACCTACACATGTAATAAGACTGAAGATACAAATATGTGCACACACGCACATACATACACAAATACGAACAAATAAAACTGAGGAAATCTGAACACTTTGGTGAATCATTTTGATATGAATATCCTGATGGTGATAAGTACCATAGCTTTGCAAAATGTTACCACTGAGGAAATTATAAGGAATCTCTGTATTACTTCTTACTACTGCATGTGAATCTGAAATCATTTCAATAAAAATTTAAGTCCAAGAAAAAAAAAAAAGAGAATGTCTACATGTGGGCTCTGACTTCAGACAAATTCTAACCGCACTCCTGCCTCAGCTAGCCCAGCTCCAGACACAGCTCTACTCAGTGTCAGACATCTGACTGGCTGCTGCTCTTGTTACATGAGCCCTGGCCTCTCCC